TCTCTAATGTTTCTTTTTTTTAAATTTTGTGAAATAAAAAAAAGTGTTTGTTGTTTGTTGGATAAATTTAACAGAAATGAGTAATAGTTTAAAATCAATATGTTTCTGTTTTTTTTTTTTTCGCCTTTTTAAAAAATTCTTTCCTTAAAAATATTTGCAGTTATTACTTCCAATAATTGGCAAATAAAAACAATAAAAATTAATAATAATAATTCAATGAAAAATAAAAAATTTATAAATTTATTTTTTAGAATTTATATTTTAACTGTTATTTAAATATTTTAAACTTTCCAACTATTTGTTTAATTTATTTTATCATAATTTCATTTTCTTCTGTTCAATCCAAAATTTATTCTTTTATTTTTTCATTTCTCTTTTTTTTTTGTTGTAATTTTAATAACTTATTGTTAGAACTTTTTTAAATAATAATTTTAATTTTACAATTTTGCAAAATAATTAATTTTAATCAGCAAGCCGAAATATGGATAGGAAAAAGTGAAAAGTTTAATAATTTTATAACAAAAGTAAATTGTCAAAATGAAAGAAAAAAAAAACGTTAATAATAGTTTGAGTTTTTGGTAATATTTTTTTTAAATCTATTTTTCAATTTTTCCAGAAAAAAAATCTATTTTCAATGCTACTTAAAAATGAATGAAACAAAAAAAAAAAAAAATAGGAAGGAAAAGAAGGAAAGAGAAAATGAAAATGAAATGAAATTTGAAAATATGAATAGAAAGAGACAAGTAGTTAAATATGAACAATGATGGATTTTTTAAATTTTAAAATTAATTTTTACAGATGAATTTTTTGAAAATTATCTATTTCTTCATTCCCTGCAAACTTTTTAGAAAGTTTTGTATTTTTCTAAGTGAGTTGAAATTTTGAAATAAAAAAAAATTAAGATAAGTTTTCAAATCTTACAAATTTGTCACCGCAATCTTTTAAAATGAAACTTTTTTAAAATTCATCGAAAATGATTTTTTCGATCGTTTGAATAAACATTAAAAAATTTATCGATACAAATTTTAGAAATTTTTTGCATTAACCAATCAAATAAATAAATGAAAATTTTTTTCTTTTATTATTCCTATTTTCTTACTTTTTTTGATGAATTTTATAAGCAATTTTTCAAATTTTACAGAACAAAAGTTTAAATTTCATTTGTTTTAAATATTTTATTAAGCAAATAACGACAAAAAAAGGAAACAATAAGAAATAGTTAAGAATTTAATACTTGAAATTAGCAAATTATTGCATTTTTTATTCATTAAAACTCTAATTTTCAAAAATAAATTGAGCAATTTACATTAAAATAACAAAAATTTTAAACAAAAAAATATTTCAGTTATGTCATATTTCTTTTTTTCTTTTTTTTTTTTTTAAAAAAAAAGCAAATTACTAAAGCAATTTCAATTTTATTTTACAATTGTTTTTTCAGCTATGTTCAATCCTTCAAATACTTTTATGTATTTTTGCTAAAAATTCTATTTGTTTAAGTTTTCTTTCTTCAATTTGAAAATTTTTTTTTTTTTGTTATTTTTTTATACAGAATTTTCTTCTTATTATTAGTTTTCTTGATTTTATTTTTCTTTTTTTTTTGGTGCTTAATTTATTACATATGCAAAAAATGTTGGAATAAAATAAAAGAGTTAGAAAAAGAAAAAAATGAAAGAATAATTTTATTTAAATCATTTCAAGTTCAATTTCATTTTTTATTTGATTGCTTTGTTTACATTCATTATTGGTAGCGATAAAAAGAATTGGTCTTATAAGATAAAACTTTTGTTTTCTTCACTTTTTTAATTTCAATTCAATTTTGCAATCAATGGATCTAAAATAATGAGAGATTTAAAAAAAATAATTTAATTAATTATAAAATTAATTGTAATGAAATTTAAAAAAAATTTTGTTTTTTAGAAATTAATTGTGGTGAAAATTTACGTTTATGAATCATAATCATTTTTCAAAATCTGAAATTTAAATTCATTTAATGTTAATTAATTAATTAGTGAAAATAATTATTTGCAATGATTGCTTATGCGTGTATCATTTAACCATAAAATTATTTCAATCAATAAATATAAAATTGTAATATTTTTTTTAATAATGATTATTTTTTTCTCAAATTTGAAAGAAAAAAATTGTTCGGAAATTTTTTTCTAATGATTTTTCTTATTTCTTAAAGGAAAAAAGTTAGAGATGAAGTTTTCATCTTCATGATAATATTTTTGACAGAACTAATTTGTTAATTTTATTTAAAAAAAAAAATGAATTAAAAAATTTTTGCTAAAGATCGTGAAAATATGAAAAAATTTAATTTTATAAAGCAATAAAATATGAAACGATCAAATAGAAATAATATTTAAATATTTGCTTAACTTCTTCTTTTGCTATCATTATTAATTCTATGAAATATTTGCGATAATTATTAAGTATTAATCATGATTGAAGGAAAATGAAAAATAAATTAAAATTAAATTAAATTAATCCTTCTCTTTTGAATTGCCAAAAACTGCTATCAGTCTTTTTTTTTTAATTTTTAATTTTTAAATATTCCTAGCTTTAATAAATATATTTTATTAGTTAAATTTCAATTCAGTTTAAATTTGATTTGAAAGAATAAAATTAATTTTAATTCATTTTTTCAACTTTTTTTTTAAAATTAGACTACTTTTTACAGGTTCTCAAAAGTATCTTATTTATTTTAAAAATCAAAAAATAGTAATTATAATAAAGTGATGCTTAGAATTAAACAAACGATATTTCAATTTCATTCAGCTAATCATTCATTAGCTATCATTTCATATGTGTTATACACTTTTTCATTCCAATCAAATTAATTATTCTCTTATCAATACAACTGATAAACATATCAATTTAAAAACTCTTATATATTGCAAATATTTCTACACTAGAAGTTAATTAATTAGTGATAAATTATCATTAATACTTGTTTTTTAATTTTTTATTAATAGAAAAAATATTTTTCCCAAACATTTTTTTAACAACAAAATGTGTTTTAATAATTAAAAATTATTATTTATTAAAAAAAAATTGTTTTTTTTGTTAAATAATTTTTCTTTTTTTAAAAAGTTAAAATTTGTCCATTTTTTTTTTTTTTAAATGAATAAGAATTAATAATTTTTATATTTTCCAATTTGATTGATAATGAAATGAATTTTTATACTTTTTCATTTTACTTTTTTTTTCTTTGGCTTTTTTTTATTTCTTTCTTCACTTGGCTTTACTTTATGCTTGCCTTTTAGTTTTTTTCTTTTTTTTTTTAATATAATTTTATCTTTTATTTGCTTTCTATTTCCTTTTTCGTTTCATTTTACCTTATATTTGCTGCCCTTTACTTTTTCACTTGGCTTCTTTCATACTTTTTCCTTTTGGCTTTTTTCTTAGCTTCCTTCAAATTCTTTTTTCTCAGCTTTGCTTTAGATTTACTTCTCATTTTTTTTTCTCTTGGCTTTACCTTATATCTGCTTTCTACTTTTTCTCTTGGCTTTACCTTATATCTGCTTCCTACTTTTTTCTTGGCTTTACCTTATATCTGCTTCCTACTTTTTCTCTTGGCTTTACCTTATATCTGCTTCCTACTTTTTTCTAGGCTTTACCTTATATCTGCTTCCTACTTTTTTCTAGGCTTTACCTTATATCTGCTTCCTTGCCTTTTTTTTTTGTCCTTGGCTTCATCTCATGCTTGTTTTCTTGCTTTTTTCCCTCTTTCTCTTGGCTACCAATCATTCGTTCCCATGGAGCTTTTCGTAATTGCTGCAAAGTTAAGGCTTATTTGCATTATTTACTAGCTGACATAAGTAATAGCCAACAATGTTACTGAATTACTTATTTTACTTTTAGATAATATAATTCTTTTTTTCATTTAATTTTTTTATAAAGTTCTACTTATATTCTTTTAGTGGAAAAAGGAAAAGAAAGTGAAAGAATTTATATCTTTTTTTTGAGTTCAAATTTAAGTTAAAAAAAATTTTTCTTTGTTCACATTTTATAAAAAATACTTTTATTTTTTGATTTCAGTTTCATATTTCAATTAGAAAAAATTTAAATTGCATAATTTTATTAATGAAAAGCATTTTGTCTTTTTTTTTTTGCAAATTGCTAAAATAATTTTCACATTTTTTACATTTAATTGTTTCGCTTGTTTTTTTTTTTTAAAAAAAACCATAATTTAGTGGAAAAATCTTATTTGTTTTTTTAATTAGAAATTTAAATTAAAGAATGTTTAAGTTAATAAAGCAATTAGCATTGTTAATTTATTGTTTTTTGTTTTTGTTGAAATGATTCACAATAACAATTCTAATATTTTTTAATAGTAATTTATAATAATAATATGATACCAATATTTTTTGATAATATAATTTTATTTTTCAAATTTTTGCTTGAATAGTTTTGTTGATTGAAATTTAATAATTTTATTAATATTCAAGTTATCAATTTATTTTATTTAACAAATTATTCTTTCAAAATAAACAGTTATCTTTTTTTTCGTATAAGAACAAATATTTACCTCCATCAATCAATCATTTTAAAACTTTTTTCTCCTTTTTTTTTGAAAATATATTTCAACCAATGAAAAATTCTTTATGTGAAACAAAATATAAAAATTTTATAATTTTCAATATGTTGCAAAATTCATTAATTGTTACTAGTTTATTAATTAAAAGAAGGAAAAATTAATAATCCTCGTTTTGCTTTTTTGATTTTCCCGTGGTTCAATATAATAAAATATTTTTTGTTATGCAATGGTATATATAAATATGTTTTTTTTTTCTCGAATAAAAATAAATTTTGGATAAACATTAAAGGGAAATTTTTCAAATAATTGATTATCAGTATTTTTTGTGTTAATTTAAAGAATTTTAACTAATAATTTATTAATACTAATTTTGTCAATTAATTTAATAATATTAGTATTATTCAAAATTAAATTTTTAGAATATACATATGTAAATAATAAATATCAGAAAAGGAAAACAATGAATATTGCAAATTTATTCACTACTAAATTCGATGAATGTGATGAAAGTAAATGGCAACAGGAAATACGGTTAGAACCGGATAGATCAATCAGTGGTGCATTAGCATTTCGATTAACCGGAAGCAAAACACGTGGTGTTTTCATACAGTACGTGAATCAAAAATCTAGCCAGGTATTTTGTAATAATAATAAATAATTTTTGTAATACTTTTTGACCATAATTAAATTTGAAAAAAAAAAAAAAAAAAAAAAAAAACGGAAAACAAAATTAAAAAGTATTTGATTATTTGTATTTTGCTTATTTTCCTTTTTCATTCTTTTCAATTTATCATTCATTCTATTTGTATTATCAATTTTATCATAGCAATCAGTGAAACGGAAAAAATAAGCATGAATGTAATTTATAAATTACATCAATTATATCATAGCAGACAAAGAAATTGGGAAAATAAACATAAATATAATTTTTAAAAGTCTAATAATCTATAACTAATCAAATGTTAACTGTTTCACTAATTTACATCACTTTTTCGTTTATTCATTTTAATGTAAATTTGTGACTTATAAAAATTTTGCCTAAAATTAAGGATAAGGTATAATTTGAAAGTTTGGCTAAGAAAGGTCAAAAAAGAAAACACAAAGGTGTCGTGGAAGGCTTTGATTGTTTAATTAATAATATTGGGAGAGTTGTTTGATCGCAGGGAGATTTTCTTGGATGTAAATGTAAATGCGTGAGGTAATAGAAATATAATCCGAGTTGTTTATTAGCGAAGTAATAGGACAAAAACGTTGATAGAGAACAATTGAAATTGGAATCGTCGGTCCTTGGCAATAAATTACACATATACTAAATCTTTTAACAAGGGTGATCCTTATATAGCAATTATCTTACATTATTCTGTTAAAATGTGGGAGTGGTTTATAATTAGATATTTTTATACAAAGGATGACAGTAAGTAACTTTAACGATAGGTTTAAAAATGGATATCACAATGAATTGAATGGATATCACGAAAGAAAGTACAATGGTTTGTCTAGACATTATGACAAGTGGCTACTATGAATTGCAATAGACATTACATGATAGATGCTCATAGTATATGAATTGATATAAGATCAAAAGTCAAATAAACCATTACGATGAATTGTAAAAGACATCAATGGATTGCTATATTAAGCATTGTTAACATTTGTTTAGTGTTTCGCGATGTTAAAATCTGCGACAAAAAGTTGAAAGAAAAAAGAAACTTATAAACTTATAGCATATCAAACTTATGCTAATTATGCAGAAATTGTAAATAAAAATGAATGAAATCAATTTTATATTTTATATATTTCGATATTTCGATCTATGTTACAGTCAAAAATTCTGTACAAAGGTGATCAAATACTAAAAGTGAATGGCGTTGACGTACGACGTTTGACGTGTGATCAAATTGTTAATATTCTACGCTTAGCTGTATATAATAATGGTTATGCATTAGTACAAGTAATTCCTTTTTTTTTATTAGAAAAAAGTACGTAAAAGTACGTAAAAATGAAGTGATTTAGTGAAATAATCAAATAGAAAAAATTTTTATATGTTTGTTTGTTTTTTGAAACTGTAAATTAATAATATTTTCATTTTTTGTTTTAAATTTGATTTCAAATTTAAACAATTAATTATAGGTTAATCGTCAAATACGATTGAAAGAGAATGTATCAGATGAAAATGGTAACTTAAATCATTGTTATCCGGCATATAATGATGATCTAATAATCAATAACAATAATAATAGTACTTTACCAATATCACTTTCCGATATGACCGGATTAAGTGAATCGGCAATTCATGCTCGAGTAAGAAATAATTTATAAGTTTATTTGAAAAAAAATGAATAAAAGTATTATAGCGAAATTTTATTTTATTTTTTTATTCTTTACAGAAAGTAATCAGTAAATAATACATTTTAAAAAAGGAAAAAAAAATTAAACAGAAAAATAGTCGGATAAATAATAAATGAAAAATTATTGAATGGATAAATTAGTAAACAAATAATAAGTGAGAGAATTTAATTAAATAAATAAGTTAACTGATAAGCAAATAATTGATACGAAAGAGAAGGAAAAAGTAAACAAATAAAGGAATAAATAAACAAATAATTATAAATCAAAAAAGTTTGTTGAATAAAATTTAATAAAAACAATAGGCGATGGAATCATCATTTCATTACTGTGATAATTTAACTGGAATGGAATGTACACAATTGGTTTGCTTTAGTGAAAAAAATGATCAAAAATTTTCAATGTGTACACAGCAAAGGTATAAATTTTAAAGTAATAAAATTTTTCAAACCAAAAACAAAAATAAATCGAAATTTTTTTGAATAAAATTTAAAAATTTTCAAAAATATAAAGAAAATGAAAATTTGTTTTTTTTTTTTAGAAAATTTGCAATGTTTGGTTACATTAAGCAATTAAATGATAGCGAAAAAGAATGTAAATATGAAAAGAAATGTGATCAATGTTCGAAATATTCCACAAAGGTTAGTAATTTTGAATTAATAAATTAGAATTAGTAATTTTGAAATAATAAATTAGAATTAGTAATTTTGAATTAATAAATTAGAAATAATATTTTTGAAATAATAAATTAGAATTAGTAATTTTGAATTAATAAATTAGAAATAATATTTTTGAAATAATAAATTAGAATTAGTAATTTTGAATTAATAAATTAGAATTAGTAATTTTGAAATAATAAATTAGAAAAGAAGTATTATAATAATTTTTGTCTTTTTTCGCTTATAAAAATAGTATTTATGGATTTGGAAAATTACTGCAACATTTAATAAATTTCCACAACAATTAAATTAATTAATTAATTAAAAAAAATAAGAAAAAAACCAAAATATTTGTTTAATCATTTTCCAATTATTTATTTTGTCAAATTTGTGGCATTGAAAAAAAAAAGTTACTTAATTAAATAATTGAATTATTAATATTTATTCAATTTCATTTCTTCGAAAGACAAGAAAAAAGCGAATTCTGTGAAAAGAACGAAAAAAACAAAATTATTTTTTCATTTTTTTTTTAGTGGCGTTGGCATATTGTAAAGCATCGTTGGGCGACAAATGCGATGAAAATTCTTCCAAAATCTGCATCTGACTTATTTGGCTTACGAATTTATCAAAAAGCTTATTATAATTTAATTTAATTTGATTTAATTCTCTTCAAATTTAATTTATTCCTCAATTGTTTATTTATTTCAGCTCAATTATTCAAATTATGGCTCAAATATTATTTATTTATTTTTGTTCAATTAGCATTTCATTGATCAATAATTTTTGTTTTTTTTTTTGTTTTTCTGTTTGTTTGTTTGTTTGTTTGTTGAAGATGAAATTATTGTTTTCTTATTTATAGGTTTTGTGAGGAAAAACTGTTTTTTGAAATTGTTAAAAAAATGAATGCGTGAAAATTTTGTTACTTAAATTTATGATTTGCATCCATTTTAAATAAATAGTATTGCATTATTTTCAATTTTCAGTTTTATATCAGTAAAAATGCAACAAACAAATTTGGAACTTAAGAAAAAAAAAAACTTTGTTCAAAAATAATTTTTGCAGAAATATTTGAAAATAATTTTGTAACATATAATAATTTCCTTGGTATTTAAATTTTTTTTAATTTTATTTTTTCAATTTAAATTTTTTTTTAATTATATTTTTAAATTTATGAAATGATTATACTGTGCATTTTATTGTTCAATTTATTATAATAAATTATTGATTAAGCAATATTTGTTGTAAATAATTTTTTTTTTTTTTTTGTTATCTTTTTGCTTTTCAATAAATTTTTAATCAATTTTTTTTTGATTGTATTCAAATTGTATTACATTAATTGACTAAAAACAAAAAATAAAATTGGAATATTCAATTTACAATTAATTTTTACATATTACTGCAATTATAAGTTTCAATAAATTATGTATGAAATGAAAAAAAAGAGAGAAAAAACTATGAAAAAATTAAATGTTATAAGAATTTCTGATAATTTCAATTTTTCATATCAGCGAAATAAATAATATTATCACTTAATCATCGAACAAATTATTTCTCATAATTCTACGATGATTTTCTCACTTTTTTTCGAATTTTGTTAACTAATTTTTGTAATTAGAAATTTTTATATCACATTTATAAAATTTTACCATTTTTAGTATTCATTTATTCATTTTAATATGTATTTTTAAAAATATTTCGATTCTAAATTTCTAAGAGAATTTTGATAATTTATTGCAAAAGAAGAAAAAATTATTTTTTTTTCATGAAAGCAATTAAATTATAAATTAAAAGAAAAAGATTTAATTTACTTTTCCTGATTTATGCAAATTTTTTTTTTGTTATTGTATTATTATGTAAAAATTTTTTATAGAAATTTTTTAAAAAATAAAATATAATGAGTGGAATATTAGTTTTTGTTTCATTTGATAACATTTTTCTTTTTATTTTCATTTTAATAATTTACTGGTCTTTGACAACACGGATGTCATTAATTAGTACTCCATTTAGTGATTTAGGCATTGATCTCGGTTCAACTTATAGATTAGGGTAATTTTTTTTTCATTTTATCAATTAATAATTTTCTTTTTTTTTTTGAATTGATTTAATTGTTATAAATAAAGTAAATAAAATATTTACTTTGTAAGGAATAAACTTTTTATGATTAAATTCATTGATAAACAATTTTTTATTAAATTAATTGATAATCAATTAAAAAATTTAACACTACAAATTTCCTGCTACTATTTTTTTTTTTTTGTAAATAATGTTTATAATATTTTCTTTTTTTTAATATGTGTGTGTTTAAAATTAAAAATTTGAAATATTTGTTGATTATTTTTGCTCTTTTTTCTTTTACCATTTGTTTTCTTTTTTTTTCTTGTAAACTGTATTATTATTAATTGTCATATAATTTTACTTTAAAATAATAATTCATTATTATATATTTTTGCTTATTTTTCTTTTTTCTAGCAAAAAAATATTGTTTTTTTTAAAAATTGTCTTTGTTTAAAAATTTAAAAAATTGATTTTATTTTGAAAATTAAAAAAATAATTTTCACTTTTTTAATTTTAAATTTTAGTTATCCTGAAAATGAACAGTTAATACGTCGAATTTATCCAAATTTTGCGAGTGATTATATGAAAGAAAGTGATGTGTTAGTGATTTTTACGCATTATTATTATCTTAAAATGCGTAAAGACGTAATTACAACGGAAATTGGTCGTTCGCTATTTGCAACCGTTCATGGACTGCGATATATCGAATGGTATTTAATTAAATTGGAATTAAAATACTAATTAAATTATTACGAAAAAAAGATATTTACGTCATTTTAATTAACATAAGAGCTAATTATCAAGACATTATCAAAATGCAATACTATCAAAATTAGTAATACTAAATTAAATTATTATATTGAAAAAAAAAAGTTATCAATTATTGTATTGTTCCCATAACGTTATACTATTATTAAATTATTATACTATTATACCATTATTAAATTATACAATATTTTAATTATCCAATATTTAATGAATAATAGATAATTTAATCAAAAATAGTATCATTAAATGAAATTGTTAAATGATAGCAATCATTGCAAATTTCTCACGACATTACGTGAAATCATTACGTGAAAGATATTCACGTCATTTTAATTTTTATGAAAAAAAGTATTAAAATTAGTAATATTTAATTAAATTATTTATTAAGTCACTATTAGAAATTATTCCTATGAAAAAAAAAAACTTCGTATTTAAACAATCCGAAAAAAAAATTTTTTCGAATTTAAAAACTTTCCTTTTTCATTGTTCTTTTATTGGATATATCGAAAAGATAAATTTAATTAAACACTTTCTTTTTTTTTTTTTTTGATTTTATAATTAAGCATTTTTAACTTTGAAAATAAAAGTTTAATTAAACAGTTTCTTTCTTTTTTTTTCTGGTAGCAAAAAAAATAGATTAAAACTTTTTATTTAAATGTTGGAAGGAAATTTTGTTTCCTTGTCAATTATTTCAAGAAATGTTTAAATCAAATTTTAGCATCAAAAAATTTTTCATCAAAAAACTCATTTTCGTATTTATATAAAACGACTTTTTAAATTTTAAATGAAATATGGAAAAAAAATTGAAATGAAATTTTTGTCAGAGAAAATTTTTAGCAGTACATTTTAATATTTGATAGTATATGGAAGAAGGAAATGAATTGAATTGAATGAAATGGAAATAATAAATTTAAACAAACTTTTTTTTTTAATGAAACATACAAAAGCCAAAAATGAATTTTTTTTTTCAAATCTTTTCTTGCAAATTAAAAATATTTCTATTATTATTATCAAATCTTAAATTTAATTTTTTCATGAATTGTCTAAAAATATGATTTAAAAAGAATTTTGCAGAAGTTTAATGATAAATTAAATTTTTTGGAAGAATTAAATTTATTTTTTTATTTTCCAAAATTACAACTTTTTTGATTACTAAATTCATCTGATTATTTATATTTATTATTTGTTTTTAGTTCTATTTTGTTTTTTTTTTGAATAACAATTTAATATTTTAGTAAATTTTTAGCATTTTCATTTTATTTTAATGTTTCAATTATTTATTATCTTTTTGAATGCAATTTAATACTGCAATAACCAAAATAATTTAATATATTCAAATAATTTAACATTTTTCTCCTTTTTTTTAAAAAAATTTCAATCTAATATTTTAATGATTTAATATTTTTTGTTCAAAACAACTAATTTATTATTTTTTTTGAACAAAAAATTTCTAAACAAAAAAAACATTTAATTATGATCAAAAAAAAAAGT